TAGGACTCGTCACATCTTCAAATATCTAGAAATGTTCTACCATGCTCAGACAAAAAATATTTTTCTAGCTCCTACTCTATGATAGAGTTAATACCAGAAATTTACTAAAGAAGAAATTCATGCATATGGACTAATACAACTATGTTCTATGTTCTGACAATGTGGACTAAATCATCACAAAAAAGTGAAAGACAACATGATGAAAGTGAAAGACAATGTTCTATGCATACAAGATAGATGTAGGTGAAGAACATGTTATCATACAAGCATTCAGGCATACACAAGATGAACTAAAGAAATGAAAGACAACATGATGAAAGTATTCAGTTCAAATTCTTCATAATGTAGATCACAATTCTCCAGCAATGGAAATACTGAAAGTAAAGGGTTGAGGAATTTGAAACTAGGTAGGCTCGATGACGACACAACGATTTGGTAGACCAGTTCCACTTGTTGTGTCAATTGTATGTCTGGTTGAGGTGGCTTGAGATTTAACTCCGAAGACACTTAGTCTTCATAGTACTCCTCTTGAGCTAAGGTCACAGCGGATCTCGCCCAATCACTTGTGGTAAGTCTTCAAGGTAGACTTCCAAAATCTTCACAGACTTATTCACTGGCACGCTACAATTACTCTTGGGTGCTGATGAGGACATCAATACCATTGTTACACCCACAGCCCCTACTACTACCTATACTGGACCAATTACTAGAGCTCGCGCACGCCAATTAAATTATCAGGTACTTTCGTTTCTTGGTAATGATTCTAATGTTCATGAGAATATGATGCTGCCTAAATTGGATACATTTGTTTTGCTTACAAATGAAGGGCCTGGCATGGATAAGAGTGATGAACAATGGAGCAAGAACAAGCATGGAGTTGATGGCATGCGTAAGGGGAACAAGAACGGAGTTACAAGTGATGATTTCAGGACATTGAAGCCACCATAATGAGTGCATGAAGCCTTGGACGAAATATAAAAGATGCCACTTCATAAACTTCGTCCAGAGGCTATTCTAGGTGATGCGTCACCTTATTATTGGGCCAGGCCCATGTAATTTCTAAATACATAAGTATAGGTTATTTTTAGAGTCCGTATGTGTGGGGAAACAAGAGATAGGGTTGGTTTTGGACCCCTTCCCCAAGGGCCATGAAATCCCCCTCCCCCCCCCTCTTCCTCCATATATACAGCCCTTAGGGAACCATTTAGACTTTGGGTTTTGTTTATATCAAAAGTTTGCCATAGTTGCAACTTCGCGTACTTCGTTTGTGTTCATTGACCAGACCAAGACGTCACAGAACCCCACCTTGATCAATAAAGCTTTCCTCTTATATTCGCAATATCTAGATTGCAATCTTAGTTTCTTGCTTGTTCTTCGTTTGCCTGCAGGAAACAGACCTTCGTGGTCAGGTTGATCGTGCTCCAGCGTGGTCAATAACCTCTCGGAGTTGGTTTAGCGATTTCTAAGGCGCGACGTCCTCGCACGTTCGTAGTCGGATCGTCAAAGTCGATTTCCTCCAAAACGATAGCCACCATCTCATCGAAAGATGGGACACCTTTGCCTCTATCAGGTGCTAAGAACATGACGCCTAACCGTTTGAAATAATGTCAGCCTTCAAAAGTAACATATCACACAAATCAATCTCTTTAGTGATGCTCAATCACTTTGGCTCTGCTTGGGTTTTTCCTCACTTGGGTTTTTGAAGGAAATATGCCCTAGAGGCAATAATAAAGTTATTATTTATTTCCTTATTTCATGATAAATGTTTATTATTCATGCTAGAATTATATTAACCGGAAACATTATACATGTGTGAATACATAGACAAACAGAGTGTCACTAGTATGCCTCTACTTGACTAGATCGTTGAATCAAAGATGGTTAAGTTCCCTAGCCATAGACATGAGTTGTCATTTGATTAATGGGATCACATCATTAGGAGAATGATGTGATTGACTTGACCCATTCCATTAGCTTAGCACTTGATCGTTTAGTATGTTGCTATTGCTTTCTTCATGACTTATACATGTTCCTATGACTATGAGATTATGCAACTCCCGTTTACCGGAGGAACACTTTGTGTGCTACCAAACATCACAACGTAACTGGGTGATTATAAAGGTGCTCTATAGGTGTCTCCAAAGGTACTTGTTGAGTTGGCGTATTTCAAGATTAGGATTTGTCACTCCTATCGTCGGAGAGGTATCTCTGGGCCCACTCGGTAATGCACATCACTATAAGCCTTGCAAGCATTGCAACTAATGAGTTAGTTGTGGGATGATGTATTACGAAACGAGTAAAGAGACTTGCTGGTAACGATATTGAACTAGGTATTGAGATACCTACGATCGAATCTCGGGCAAGTAACATACCGATGACAAAGGGAACAACGTATGTTGTTATGCGGTTCGACCGATAAAGATCTTCGTAGAATATGTAGGAGCAAATATGGGCATCCAGGTTCCGATATTGGTTATTGACCAGAGAAGTGTCTCGGTCATGTCTACATAGTTCTCGAACCCGTAGGGTCCGCACGCTCAACATTCGTTGACGATATAGTATTTATGAGTTATGTATGTTGGTAAACAAATGTTGTTCGAAGTTCCGGATAAGATCACGGACATGACGAGGAACTCCGGAATGGTCCGGAGATAAAGTTTGATATATGGGATAATAGTGTTTGGTCTCCGGAAGGGTTCCGGAATTCATCGGAAGGGGTTCCGGATGTTTCCCGAAATGTTTGGAGATGAGAACACTTTATTTGGGCCAAAGGGGAAAGCCCACAAGGTTTTTGTAAAATGCAAAAGGAAGTTTTGCGGAGTCCAGGGGCCAGACGCCAGGGTCCCTGTCGTCTGGGTCCAGACGCCGGGAACCCTGGTGTCTGGTCCTGGAGTCCGAGAAGGACTCTTGCCTTTCGGGTGAAACCGACTTTGTGGAGGTTTTTACTACAAGTTTTGACCCCAAGGCTCAACATATAAATAGAGGGCAAGGGCTAGCACCCAAGACACATCAAGAAACACCAAGCCGTGTGCCGGCAACCCCGTCCCCTCTAGTTTATCCTCTGTCATAGTTTTCGTAGTGCTTAGGCGAAGCCCTGCGAAGATTGTTCTTCACCAACACCGTCACCACGCCGTCGTGCTGCCGGAACTCATCTACTACTTTGCCCCTCTTGCTAGATCAAGAAGGCGAGGACATCATCGAGCTGAACGTGTGCTGACCGCGGAGGTGTCGTACGTTCGGTACTTGATCGGGACGGATCGTGAAGGTATACGACTACATCAACCGCGTTGATAAACGTTTCCGCTTTCGGTCTACGAGGGTACGTAGACATACTCTCCCCTCTCGTTGCTATGCATCACCATGATCTTGCGTGTGCGTATGAATTTTTTTGAAATTACTACGTTCCCCAACAGTTTTCACAAAATCGTCGGAGGACGGGCTGCTCTAACAAATGTCAATCGCTCTCTAGTGCAGCCAACCAACAAGTGGTTGTAGGGGCGACTATTTGTAGACAGGGGCAACCCAACATGAATGTTCATAATGCCCCTTCGGGCATGACCGTTGCCAGGATAAGGATCCACTCGATAGCTGGCACTAAGCTCAGCAACTGTAAAACATCTAAACTCTCAAATTCGTCGGTGCACTCAATTTCCTCATGATAGGCAAATCAGACTGGAAAAATCCTAACTCCTCAATTATACCAATTTTTTCAACAACCAGAAGAACTTCGTCTCTGTCACTATGAACTTGACTGCACTATAGGAGATTTCCAAAGTCTTCAACTCGAAGCAATAGGTTTTGTACAGGTTTTGGTCATCACTCTGGAAATACGATTATGTATCACCTAGACCCCCTTGAACAGTATGGTGCTTCCTATGACTCAAAAGAAGAAGAAAGAAACTATGAAAGCATAAGTCTTCAAGCTTTCAATTCTTCACTTCAATTTCTTCAAAGGATGCACCACATTCTTCACATGAAGAAATACATTTTTAGGGGTTGTCTTTCATTGGATAAACCAAATCTTCAGGGACTATAACTCCCATCACAAACACATTACCCCCTTAACCCATTTGTCTTCAATACCCCAAAGCCACTAAGGGGGCACTAGATGCACTTACATATAGATGCTGGGCCGCTAGAGTGTCTAGTCTGTTAGAAATGACAAAACTTTTCTCCAAGCTCCTGCCCACATGAATGGACGGACTTTCCCTCTAAAAGAAGGGCTTACAATTGCTGAGATTAGAACCAAGCCCACAAAAGCACTAAGATCAAGTCCTGGACTGAACAGTTCCTTTAATTTTTCTATGATGTTTCCTAGAATTGACATAGGTTGATCTTTGGGTGTACTTTTCATGTTGTTTGTACATATTTTATATTAATGAAAATTACCATAGAATGATTGTTCTACGGTTTTCAGGTCAGAAAAATAGTCGGGGTCCATACACCCCAGTAAACCACCAAGTAGGTCTGACAACGAAGTTAACCCGAGATGTGACCGCATAGCATGTGATATGGGAATTGAATAACATCACCCCAAAGGACTTCCAAACAAGAATGATGCCACCACAAGTGCCATCCGTAGAAAGACGATAGAACTCATCAAACGCAAGGCCACAACATTGCTTGTCGATATGGAGCGAAGGGTTTTGCTAAAATAGCCAAAACTATGTGCACGTCGACCATGCGGAGCTCCATTCCCACGACACAGATACACTACACTAGTCTATGGAGGGCCGCGATGGATCCCCTTGTCTTCCCCATGTCCGTTAGTCCGCTCATCAGACTGTCGTGAACCCCGAAGGTATATGCTTCAGCATAAAGGGCGCCTCGCATCCGCATGTTCGGCAACGCCGATCTGGAGAGGAACCGCCACGATGTGTTTCAGTAGGAGGGGAAGGGGGAGAGAATGGCATGCGACCAGGCAAGACACCAGCTATGTACACCGGCATCATCTCGGCGGTGGCCTTCATGGGACCCAAGCGGTGGCGGCCTCCCGTGTTCTACTTCTCCTCGACGACCTCGACGGGTGCGGGCGTGCTGGATGCCGCGTCGCCGACCTCCACCGACAGGGAGCGGTCATGGACACATCGACAACAGATGGTGCGGTCGCAGGCACAGAAGGAGTGGTGCGACATGACGTCATCCACGATGCACGTGCCGCTATGGTCCACTGCGTGCCGGCCTGGAGCAACACGCCACTCTTTGACGAGCTGGCTTGGAGCGGCGAGTTGCTGAACGACGCGCCGACTTGGAGCTTCTGGCTCCTCGAGCTGGCCTGCAGCCGCCTGGACCGTCGACAGAGGCGGAGCATAGAGTTTCCTCGCTCGCTTCCGTCGGGCTCAATGGCCACCCAACCAACTTGTACACCGGAGAACTCGACTTCCTGCTCGCCAGATGCCATGGAGCTTGTGGAGAAAAAAGGTTGTTCAAGGATGGGAGCGGAGTGTGGTGTGATTTTTGCTGATTGTCTGGCATTGATTAAATAGCGCGCGCTGGGGGGAGGGGTGGGGGGAGCCTACTGGCTTGTGTTTAATGACGGGCGGCTTGCGAATGGACGTGTGACCGGTGTAGGTTTCTCGACACACACACGGGTTTCAATGGAGGAAGGCGGGCAGTCTGTGACCATTTGAATGCGGCGAGGAGGCGTGTTCAGCCGGGCAAGCAGCGGGCGATGCGTCGCTTCCGTGTTGACGGTGGGAGGTCGCGTCCATCAGCGCCGCCCTCTTGTCTGGTGAAATCGCAGGCATCAATGCCGGCCGCTCCATACTCTGGGCCGGCATGAATGCGGCGCGTGGGATGGAAAGCATGGAAGGGGCGGGTGGGGGTTTGGGTGGGCCAGGGTGGTCAGACGCGGGCATGGCAGGGGTCCGGACGCTGCAAAGCCGCCCCTCCCCCCGCATGTCTTCGGTTTCATGTCCGAACCGCTTGGCGGACCGATACAGATCCATATTGGATGACTTCCGCGATCCGAATTTATACGGACAGTTTGAGGGTCGTCATTGGAGATGCCCTTAATGAGACAAGTGGGTGTTTATACCTGAAATTTAATCTTTTATAAGCCGAGCGGGTACAACCACTGTCCTAACCATCCGATCATAAGTTGGATCTCATTTTCCCACGATGTAGAATTCACATATACTTGGTATAGTGGTATTTCTCATTTTACCAAGGCATACATAAACGGGGTTCATGTATGCCTTGGTATGATGGTATTTTTGTGTTCAAGTACATAATCATGTCGTTGGATTGTTAGAAGAACTGTGGTATCCCCAGCAAGGTTCAAGTCCTGGTGCTCACATTTATTTTTGGATTTATTTCAGAATTTCCGGCGATGTGCATTCAGTTGTAGGAGACATTTTCGTCGACGACGAATGTGCCTACTGTGACTTTGTAAATTTCAAGATGATATGCCAGCTCAGTCTTTTGAAGGTGCTCATAGGAGTAGGGTGTGCGTGTATGCGTTCGTAGGGGTAAGTGTATGCGTGTGTATATGAGCGGTTGCGTGTGTAATGTGTTAAAAAAAGTACATAATTCAGATGTATCCTTTCCAAAAATTGAAGGCATATGCAGAGCAATCAGTTTTCGTCATTTTTACCAAGAAAATAAATAATTTTCATTCAGACCAAGTTCCTCGGTCCTACAAACAGAAATTGCAATAGGCACATCTGTAAATTCCAATCGGAACATGCTCTCATCAAAAAATGGTGGAGCAGAGGTTCTCTGCTGCGCGCGCTCCAACAAGACGTTGCGGCAGGAAGCCCACAGACCTGCTTCACTTTTAGCTATGCTATTGCCATCACAGCTGGGACGAGATGACCTGCTGCATGTACTTGCAGCACCTCTGGTAGCTGACGAAGCCCATGAACCAGAACTCGAAGCCGTCCACGGTGGCCATGTGTATGTACTTCTGCTCCGGGTTGTCCGCGTTCTCGCTCGGCTGCACCCCCTTGATCCTCCCCAGCGGCACCACCACCTTGTACGGCACCCGAGCGACGTCGCCCGCCGGCGAGGTGACTGTGAGGGACCGGTCGCTGCGGAAGGCGATCTTCCTGGTGGAGACGAAGAGCATCCCGGCGATGGGCCCGCTGGTGGTGTAGAGGTAGCACTGCAGCGCCTTCACCAGCCGCTCGCCCTTCTCGGCCGAGAAGGCCTGCCGGAACACCCGCTCCACGCCGCCGGCCTGCAGGATCCTCGCGCCCAGGCTGAGCTTCCCCTTCACCGTCTCCGACAGCTTCGGCCCCAGGGTCACTGCACGCACGAACAGGAACGCGACATACTCGTCAGCACACTGCCCGTTTTCCATTTGGAATGTAGTACTCGAGTTTCTGGTTTGCGAACGCCGACTCACCGTGGTCTCTGAAGCCCTGCGCCCGTCTGCCCAGCTTGTTCACCCAATGGATCACCTGACCCTTGCTACTGTGTTTGTAGCCGAAGGACGCGTAGGGGCTCGGGTGCGTCAACGAGACGGCGAGGCGATCGCCGTCCTTCTTGGCCGCCCCGGCGCCCCTGGTTGTCGCCTCCTCTAAGGCGTACGCCTTGGAGGTCACAGGCACTCCGATCACATGGCCGCAGCTGGACTTCCTCATGGTCACTTCTCTGTGCGTGCGTGTGAGAGAGGGAGGAGAGGGAGAGAGGGAGAGAGGGGGATGAGCGGCAGAGGCCCGTTTTATAGGGTGCGGGGGGTGATGAAATCTGGAGCGAAAGTCGGGCAGGGGATTCGCGTCGAGTCAGCACCGGCTCATCGGCGCCGGAAAAGCAGAGGTTCACGTTCGCCAAAAGGGGCGGGCGGGCTTTAACGTGGGGCTGTGTCATCCGCCCCGATCGTGCGCGCGCCAGGGGAGGGGAGGGTAGGGGAGGGGAGGAGTCACGTACTACGCGGTCGATCGGGCGGCCAACCGCCGGGGATGGAGGCCTTGCTTCGATGTCGATCGATGGTGATTTGTCTACGTCGGCCGCGGGGAGGCCACTTTGGAAGACTGAAGGGCAGCCCATGTGCTCGCACAATCTTAGCGCCGGGTTACAGGAAAAGATACGTGTGGGGCGGAAAGGAGCTAGGCCCAGAGATCTTAGTATATGCAGATATGGATAATCTATGCTCGGGACTGGTACCTACCGGTAGCCAACTTTCCTTGGGAACGAACATTTTGGTTGGTTTCGGAACCTAGAAGAAGCTACTAGTGGTACTCATAGGAACAGGGCAACAGGCTTTCAGCTACGTATGCATTGCATGTCTGTAGGAATTTTTGGTGTCTTCCAAAACATTATATACTACATTTATTTGGTTGATGAATAAAATTATACGAAATTGGTGTATGAATGATTGATACAAATATTTGCAATTGAACTTAAGGAAATTTACTCAAGGAAGCCAGATATAAACTATACTGGAATACAATCTATATATATGTACTGGAATTATATGCCTGGGCACAGTATAGGTTTGGAATTTGCTAGGCTATTTACAGGTTCGGCTATGTAGATTGATAAGTCTACACGTTTAAATAGGAACCATATACTATTTAAACGTGGCATATATCTTACGTATATGTGCTTAGGGATAAGAAGGAATTTGACTCGAAAAATAATCAGTTATGATCGTGGTTGGTTAATTCGATTAGGAGTCTAACTGAATTCTATCTGAATACAGATTTGAACATTCAGAAATATGAGTATAAATATGTCCCTACCCTCTAGCCTCATATATGCATTATGAGCTGCACCACGGACTTGGCGGATGAATTAGAGGGTAGACAAATATACTCGTGCTATGTTATTTTCGCAACATTGGCATCAGAGCAGATCGTTTAGAGTTTTGACGGCCGAAACATAATCTCTTTTTTAGAGATAGGAAAACGGACGTCATCCTCTGGCTATTTTCCTGGAAACAGCTTCCGCTATGCACTCCTCCAAAGATCCGGAACCAAGCCATAGAATCGATCCATCTCCTCAACGCAGCTCGCCCGATCTCGCCGCGGCCGCCGACTCGCCGTCCCCGTCACGACCGCCGACTCGCCGTCCCCGTCGTGACCGCCGCCTCGCTACTCATAGGAACAGGGCAACAGGCTTTCAGCTACATATGCATGCATGTCATGATCCAGTAGAAGTGTGTGCAGTGCATGCTGAGTGTCCTACGCAGGGAAAATATCACATGAAAACCAATATCCAGAGAAAACTGGTGAAAACTACGCGAAAACAAGGTTTTGAAGTTTTGGAAAAATCTCAAAACAAACACGCTAGGGGCGTGTTTGGTTGCCACGATAGGGCCAATCAAGCCGAGTTGGGCCGCGAAATGTCATTTGGTTGCATACGGGGCGGGCTGGATCGCATGGGCACAGAGCTTAAAGCAGCCCAGAGCCTGGCTTCTTGGAAACCATCGAATCAATACGGCGCAAGCTCGCACGCGCGGGAGCAACCCAAAAACGAGAGAGGGTGGCGGGAGATGGAAATCGAGCACGGCGGCACGGCGCCAAATCTAGCCTCACCCCTCCCCCTAATTACTCGGTCACCACTACCTCTAGCCTCACCACTGGTGGTGGCAGCGACTCAGATCTGCGCAAGCGCCGACAGTGGACGCGGCAACATCACTATCCGGCTGCAGGAGCTAGTGCTCCCCTTCCTATTGGCCACCGCCGGGTCATCCTTACCTCAGCCATGCCCCCCTCCCCCTTCACCGTCCTTGTCTCCGATGCCGGTAAGCAACACTCCTCCCCTGTCTGTTAGGTCTATTGTTAGGATCGATTTCCCCATGCTCAACGGACCCTCAATGTTGACTAGGTTATGGACGCACGGATGAGCCTGGTAGTTCAGGAAGCAACACCGATTGCCGTGATTCAGGCATGGGTCATCTTCATGCACAGGAGAGCTATTCGTCATGGTGAGAGACATGCCATCTGTTATGCTCCAATGCTTATTTGGGAGTAGAAGAGGATCGTCAATCTTAACTACATCTACAACTGCAACGACATAGAGGCCCTGTGGATGCTTCCAATGAAAAGAGCACCATTTACCAGACTTGTCCAGACCTTCAGGACCAGGGGGCTGCTGCAAGATAGCATCCACACCAGTGTGGAAGAGCAAGTGGCCATGTTCCTCCATGTTGTTGGTCATAACCAGAGGTTCAGAGTTATACACAACACATTCAGGATATCAATGGAGACCATCTCAAGGTACTTCAAGCAAGTGCTCCATGCCATTGGAGGAGAGATGATCAAGTCACCAACCGGTCGGAATGCTATCAAGATTCGCACTAGCCCAAGATGGTATTCATACTTCAAGGTGAGCACTGACAGTATTGCTTCATGGCTTGATATGCTTGTATTGTTCAAGGTGAGTAGTAACATAATCTTCATTTGCCATTCCAAGATTGCATTGGGGCAATAGATGGTACTCATGTCACTGCCAGAATGCCTCGGTCATAATCTGCAGCATACAAGGGGAGGAAGCACTACACAAGACAGAATGTGCTTGCTTTTGTTGACTTCGATATGAAGTTCACCTATGAGCTGGCTGGCTGGGAAGGGTCAGCACATGATGCTAACATTCTCAATGACAGCATGAGTCATCCTGATGGCATCAACATCCCTGATGACAATTTCTACCTAGGAGATGCTGGCTATACATGTCAGCCAGGTATTCTTCCACCTTAGGAAAACCAAGTACCATCTGAACGAGTTCGTTGGAAGAAACTATCCTGGGACTCCACAGGAGCTGTTCAATCTCAGACACTCCAGCCTTAGAGTTACTGTTGAGAGAGCCTTTGGAGCTCTGAAGAACATGTTTAAGATTCTAGGTCAGAAGCCATTCCACACATTCGCCACTCGGGTTAAGATTGTTCTTGCTTGTTGCATTCTGCATAACTGGATCCTGCAATGGGGTGTTTGATGAACTGGTGCCTGAGGAGGAAGATGTGATGCCTGACGATGTTCTCAGCTCCGGCCATGTTGTGCAGGCATTTGACAACAAAGTCTAGAAGAACAAAAGGATGGACTAGGCACATGCAATGTGGGATAGAGGTCGTACAAGAATCTGATGAGGAAGAAGCTGCACAAGAAGAAGAGGAAGAAGCAGCAGCGACAGAAGAGGAAGAGGGCTAACTACCAGCAGCAGCAGAAGAGGAAGATGGACTTGCATCTAGTTAGCATCGATGATGAACTTTCCCCTATTTAGCCATATGCCTCTTAATTATATATACTGCCATTTGATAGTAGTTAGGATGAACCGTAATTTGTTTCATAGCTAGGAGTGAAACTGTTCAGATCATGTGTGGTAAGGTCACCACCACTGAGAAGTGGTGGCAGCACCTCATGCAAGGTTACAACCAAACATCGAGCAATATGTGCGCGTAATGCGATGCAACCAACCAAACGACGGGTCAAAATTAGTTCCCTCATGTAGCTAACCTATGTGTGGGCAACCAAACTATGTGTAGATGGTAGTTTATAGGCTGTTTTTGCTCAACCAGGCCCATCTGAGAATCACATGCAACGCAGCCAAAATCGATGCGGGCAACCAAACACGTCCTAGATGTTAAGATGGTGGTATTCTATTGCCATACGAAATTTAAAGTTGAAATACATTACGGGATGTGAGCTATGTAAAAAAATCAAGCTAATTTTTTTCATAGCTCGCAACAATTATGGTGGTCTAGCCGTCCATGGAGGCACAACTCCTCCTTGGGGCTACAATGCAGGGTGGCATCAGAGGAATCCAGCCGGTCAGGGAGGTTACCTCCCTTGTTGGTGTCCACATAGAGGCGCGGAATCCCCTCCCAGTCACTATCGGTGCCTTGGATGGGTAGGCCTGCCCAGGCAGGGGCTTGTTGTCGTTCTCCTTCAACAATGAGCGAGGCTATGGCTGGTGACCGTTATGCCGCTTCTACAACATCGTTCCTTGCTGACTGGGCCAGTCTGCGCTCCACTGATCCGCCATGTGTGCGATGCAATGGGAATCCGAGGCGTGGGTGGCAGTGGACAGCGGGGGTGGCTTGCTACACATCAACGACCTGTTTTCTGACATGTTGGGTGGCTTCTTCGGTTCTGGGGTGGTGGGTATGGTGGTGCCCTTGTGGCGGGTGTTACCGTGTAGGTGCTCTTGGTCTGTCTTGGCTGTGTAGGTGGCGAGACAATCCATGTGGTTGGCACCCGTGGGTGTGAGGTGGTGTCAAGGATACTCCTAGCCCATTTTGGGCGTCTGTCTTCTTCCCTACCCGTCCAACTTGGTGATGCTATTGGGCTCTGAGGCTCCGAATGAAAACCCGTGGTCCGACTTGTTGGACCACTCGATGGTGGCTCTACGGTGTCATTCCCTCCTTGGAGGCTTCTTCTTGTGAGCAAGGTCCCTACTTGCCGGTGATCGGGGTGTGGTTGTGGACTATAGCTTCTTCTCTTCGTGTTGATGGGTTCGTGGCCGCGACGATGATGCTCTCATAGTGTGCTAGTTCTATGAGGAGTTGTGTATGGAGGCCTGACCTCAAGATCTCATCATCCGTTTTTGACCAGGCTCTGGGGCGAGTGTCTTCATCGTTCGACAGTGCAGTGCCCTTCGATCCGGTGCGAGGGTTCAAGGGGTCCCTTTCGGTGATGGAGCT